TCCTAAAGTTGCAAAGCTCGCTGAGGAATTCTGGGAGTTGAAGTCCAGAAGTCTTAAAGTGGCCAAGGTTGGAGAGCCCTGGTGTAGAAGGTGTTTGTGGAATAGAAAAACATAAAAGGTACATCATAGAACATAGAACCCTAAGGCTGGAGGGGAACCTTGGAGGTCTTCTAGCCTAACCTTCTCCTGCTTGTATCCAAGAGGAGTTGGGGGGGGGGATTAGGGAGGCTTTGAAATGGCCAGGAGTACAACTATATCTATGCACATGCAGCACACAGGGATTTTCTGGTGGTTCTTACCTACAGGTAGGTGTGCGCAACCCTGAACTGCTGCAGGGCCTGCCAGGAGGACCACGGCCAGCAGACCCCCCCAGACGGTGAGCTTCATCCTGCAAGCGAGGAGGGGAGAGGTCAGGGAAGGCGTGGGAGGGCCATGTAGAGACGGTGAAGAGCTGGCTTCCTCTGCTCCACACATCAGGACTGGCCTGATGGACCCAAAGGAGGGTTGAAGACTCTGAAAGTCTGTGGAGATTCTTCATCATCTCAATCATGGTTGTCCCAAAGGTGCTTTCTTTTTTTTTTCCCAAAAGGCAACTGGACTTTCTTTGTTTTGCTTTGAAGAAGTTTCGCTTCTCATCAAAGAAGCTTCTTCGGCTCTGACTGGGTGGTGGGACTGAATGGAAGGATCGATAGTCCTTGCGGACAGAACTGGTCGTTTGCATCCTTTTAGAGAGTCCTTGAGGCCACCTGGAGGTTTATCTGTGTCCTGAGGGTCAGGACTTCCAAGCGCTTCAGTGACCCTCCTGTTGCGGTTCGCCAGCAGCCGGTGCAGACAGCAGAGGTATAAGGACGAAAGGGAACCAGTCTGGGAGTCTGGAGAGGACTCAGACAAGGGTCCTGCATCCAATGCAGAGATGGGGCCAGGACCACCTGAGGGTGGGGTGCTGCCTTCGAAGTCTAGCAGCAGTGAGGCAGAGGACCCAGGGGAGCCTGTTCCCAGGGTGTGTGTGTGTGCAGAGCTGCTAGAAGGCGAGAGAAGCTGAAGGGGCAACGTGGGAGTAAGGCTGGGAAGTGGTTGGCCCTCCCATCAGGGATAAAAGTCAGCCCTCAGTGACGGAAAGTTTTGCAGGAAGCAAAGCAGTTCAGTAATTTCCAAGTCTGTCTTGAAGCTCTAACTCTGGTCGATTTTTTTTCTGGGCTTTTGGGTTGGTTTATGTTAAGCCTTTAATTGGATGTCTGTTTGTTGGCGGCATTCTACGGCACTGAAAAGCGTGCTCTTATCTGGAGGAAGTGTGTATAATTTGTTCCGGCTGGAAATGCAAGTCATTCCCAGCGTCACATTAAAATAGGCTTTACTTTTAAACTCAGTTTGTGTTTTATTAAGTTTGATGAAGCCTGGTCAGAACAACTCCAAAAAGGATGCAAGTGACCAGCTCTGTCTGCAAGGAGTATGAATCCTTCCCTTCCCCTCCATTCAGTCAGAGCTGAAGAAGCTTCTTGGATGAGAAGCGAAACGCCTTCAAAAGAAAAAGCAAGGAAGTCCAGTCACCTCTTGAAAAAGTGCCCGTGGTCGTATGCTGCCGGTTCACACCAGTTCTAGTGATCTGGTTGTGCTGGTCAGCAGTCGGCCCCACCCACCCGCCCTCACCGTTTCCTCTCCTACATTTCCTTTCTTTGTAGCTCAGCTGATAGGCGCGGCAGAATGAAGTGCACGCCCACAGAACTGGTAGTGAAATATTTCGAATTCCACCACCGAAAAGCACCTTTGGGATCTGAAGGTTGTGCTGTTTTCTTGTCCATCACGAGCACACCTGAAATTGCTCCTCCGCCCCTTCCCTCACCTGGCCTTCCCCACACCCTGGCATCAATCCCATTAAAAACACCAAGGTGGGTTTATTGGAGTCTCTTCCTCATCTGCCCACTTTCTCAGGCCATCCCATAATTTCACCCACCCCTCCTTCCAGGGCTCGCTCTGTGGTCAGTCCTTCCTTCTTTCCCCGCCACTCACCTCCTTCAATCTCTTGGCGATGTCCAAAGGGCCGGATCTCCTTCCTGGCAAGGGAACAAGGGCAGCTCCTTTCCACCAGTAGGTCTAAATTCTTCCGTGTGCTCTGGACTTCTTTCTGGCTGGCCCTGCTTTTATCTCCTTCCTCCTGGATGGGACTAGCCTGACTCAGGAAGTCCAATCAGAAGGAGGCCAGGCCAGAGGCTGGACTCCAACCTGATTCCGATGGACCGTTAGGTTTGCTTTGCTACAAGATCTGTCCCCAACCTAGCAAACATAAGAGTTTTCTCTCCTGTATTTGCAGCACCATGACCGTGACTCATCTCCAGGTGGTGTTGGCTCTTCCCCATAGCAAAGGAAAACAACACACGGCTTTTTCGCGGAAAAGTCAGCCTTCCATACAACCCACGACAAGTTCTCAGCAAACACTAAACTTGGGACTGAGTATCAGAAGACCTGTGCGTCTTATGCATGGAATGCGGCCGTGATTTCGACATGCTCAGTTCATCAAACAGACCAAAAGCAAACTCAATCTTTGATACATCCGCTCAGCCAACGATCCATTGATTTTATTTTCTCAGAAATTATGTTCTCCAACCCCACTTCCTCGTCCATATAATTTTTTTTTAAAAAAGGCCATCGTCTCTGTGGCTATTACCCCCGTGGGGGATCCAAGGGTGAGGAATGTTCTCCAACAAGTTGTAAAACAACCCTTGGGATATTGCAATCAGTTTTGGTCACCAAAATATAGAGATGTTGAAAGAGTGGAAAGAGTGCAGGAAAAAGCAACGAGGATGATGAGAGGACTGGAGGCTGAAACATACGATGAACGGTTGCAGGAACTGGGCGTGGCTAGTCCAGGGAAGAGAAGGACCAGGGGAGACAGGAGAGCATCTTCCAATATTTGAGGGGCTGCCACAAAGAAGAGGCAGTCAAGCTCTTCTCCAAAGCACCTGAGCTACAGGGACAAGAAGCAACAGGTGGAAACTCATCAAGGAGAGAACCAACTTTTGGATAAAAAGCCATGGTAATGTAATAGACTAGATAATTTTGTGATAGAAATTTAATAGATTGATATAAAACCTAATATAGATATATATATATAACCACTGGTTGAAAGTATAACATAAATTTTAAGATAAAACTTGGAACATCTCGTATAAAATGATGGAATAAATAGTTTAGTCACGGATGATTAATAACTGATAAATACATAAGCATATGTTAGTTCGACAACGTGAAAACTGATATAAATTGTGAGTCAGTGACTATAAAAGGATAGCATAAAAGTTTTGCAACCAACTGACACACTGTATGTATATAAAATGGAAGGTGGATTTATGTTTTGTATGTGTATGTTTGTTTTTAAAGATAAAAATTCTTTATATATATAAAAAAGGAGAGAACCAACCTTGAACTAAGGGGGAATTTCCTGACTGGGAGGACAATTAACCAATGGGACAACTTGCCTTCAGAAGTGGTGGGCGCTCTCCATCACTGGAAATTTTCCAGAAGAGACTGGACAGCCATTTGTCCGAAATGGTAGAGGGCAGTGATGGCTAGCCTTTTCGGCACCAAGTGCCCAAAGCGCATGCCCCCTGCATCCCCAAAATGTGCCCTGTGCATGCGCCCCACCTGCCAACCATGAATGTGACCCCATGTGTGCACACACACCCCCTGCAGCGCATGCACGGCAGAGACCTGAAGACCAGCTGCCCAGTGGGAGGCACATGCACACGCGCACAGAGAGAGGGCTCTGCGTGCCACTTCTGGCACACCTGTCATAGGTTCACCATCGTGGGTATGAGATCTCCTGCTTGGACAAGGGTTGGACTAGAAAACTTCCAAGGTTCCTTCCAACCCTGTTTTTCTCCTATTCTTCCAGGACCCAAGATCCTTGAGAATTGGGTCTTTCCAGAGAGACCCTCCCCTCCTTTTCAGAATGCCAGGGTTCCAAGCAACCCCTGCAACAGAATTAAGGCAAAGTCCTTCTTCAAAGTATAAATGTATTGGAGGCATCATATTGGCATATCTGGGGAAAACCTAAATCTAAAATCCCACGTTTTCCCCACCCAAAGTAAAACCCCACAGTTCCTTTCCCTGCATCCATCTCTGCATCGCGTGGTCCAATCATAGCCACGTCCCAACTCCGGCCAACTTCTCTCACACCTTCCCAGGTGCCAGCTGGATGTCCTTGGCTCCCAGAGGAAAGAATGTTGTTATGATTCTACAACCCCACCCCCATCTACACCAGGGGTCTCCAAGCTTGGGCTCTTGAAGCCTGGTGGACTTCGACAGCTTTGCTGGCTGGGGAATTCTGGGAGTCGAAGTCTGCCAGGCTTCAAGGGCCCAAGGTTGGAGACCCCTGGTCTACACCTCCCCCCTTTCGTTCCCAGAGCTAGCTAAACCATCGCTATGGCTGTGGCAGCCCTATAGACTCTCTCATTGGGCGCACCTAACACATGCGCACCTAATGCATGCATGCAGCTTTCCACACGCCAGCTGAGGCTCTGCTGCACCAATCAGCTGAGAGATAAAGAGGAGAAAAGTGTAGGGGCAGGTGAGAGGGCTGATCCTGCGCTTTTCTCTGCTTCCTCTTCTCAGCTGATTGACTTTCAGCCCAACTGGTAGCAATTTTTGCAACCGGATCAGGTGAACCGGACCAAATCGGTAGCCTACACCCACTGGTGTGTGGAGCAACCTTCTACAACAGATTCTGGTCTCCTGCAGGAGCCAGGATCCTTGAGAACTGGGCCCTTCCAGGAGAGGACCTCAAGGTCCATAGACCTCTCATCATCTTTAGAAGATACCTGAGTAAGCCATCCACAGCTACAGAGCTTCAAAGTCCCCAGGACAAGCTCTGCTCCAGCAAGGTCCCTCAAAGTGGGGACCCTCCCTGTTCATAGGAGACCAGGATTGAGGGTCTGGTCTTGGCATTGTCTCCACAGACTTCTTAAAAACTCACCTGGAGTCTGTCGCAAAGGTGGTTTTTCAAGAGGCAACCGTATACGCTTTAGCTCTGAGCTGAAGAAGCATCTTGGATGAGAAGTGAAACATCCTCCAAGAAAAGCCAAGAAAGTCCAGGTGCCTCTTGAAAAAAAAAAAAAGTACTTTTGGGAGAACCAGGACCTGGATGACTGAGAATCTCCATAGACATTCACCTGGAGTCAGTCACCTGGCCAGCCAAATAAGCTTTCACAGCTGCTGCTCTTCAAACTATGAAACATTGAAATTCTTATGTACCAGGTATTTTTAACTTCCTTCTAGTGGGGTGAACTCTTCCTTCAGAGGATTCAACCAGCCAATGGAAAGCAGCTGAAGACCAGGGACCCAATAAAGACCTGGTTTCAAACCCCCCACAAGTGGTTTCCCCCTAACTACTAGGTGTTAGCAGTAGGGGAGATGGCATGTCACACAACCCTTATTCTACTGGATTTCACTTCCTCTTTCCAGGTGTTCAGGGACTCTCTTTTGGACCGGAAGACAATAGTCTTCCTTGGCAAATGCCAACTGATTTCCACATCAGAATCTCATCGTTGTCTGGGAGCAAAGAGCAGCACGAATGTTGTTTTTGCAAGATCCAACCACATTCATACCCCCAAAGTCAACACGACTTGCAGCTGCTGAGAGATGCTGAGAGAACCAGAATGCTCCCCCAGTGTTCTAACTTGATAGGACATAAGAAGGGGATATTTCCAAATTAAAGTCAGAAAAAAAATGCTTTCTGGCAATAAATGTACACGCCGTGTTTCTCAACCTTCGCAACTTTACGACTTGTGGACTTCAACTCCCAGAATTCCCCAGCCAGCAGAGCTTGGCCGTTGAACTCCACCCACCTTCCCGCAGCTAAGATTGAGAAAGTGTGCAACGCCGATCAAGAGAGACGGAAAGAGATGCTCCTGTTCAAAAAAGTAGCCAGAATGCCATCTTTGGAAGATGACCAGTGGAGTGGGAGGTTGGACTTGATGGCCTCAGAGAGAAGCTTCCAAAACACCAGGTAAGTAAAGGACACCTGTTTTCTGGCATCATAAGTTTCCTAATTTGTACTGTGCATCTACTGCTATGTACCTGGAGAGTAAGATGATAGTAAGAGCTACTCCCACCTCTGATCTCCTGGGTTTTCAATTCACCCCAGTCTGGCCTAACGAGTGCAAGCAACACCTTCCTTATGGGCCAAACATTTGCTGTCATATGGAAACCACATTTAGAAAGACTAGAGTAGAATAGAGTAGAAAAGAATAGAGTAGGAGTAGGTTGGAATAGAATAGAGTAGAGTAGAGTAGAGTAGAGTAGAGTAGAGTAGAGTAGGTTGGAATAAAATAGAATAGAAGAGAATAAGGAATAGAAGAGAATAAGGAATAGAAGAGAATAAGGAATAGAATGCAGAATAGATATAGAATAGAATAGAATAGAATAGAATAGAATAGAATAGAATAGAGAAGAGAAAATAATTAGAGAATAAAATAGAGAATAGAACAGAATAGAATAGAGAATAGAGAAGAGAAGAGAAGAGAAGAGAAGAGAGAAGAGAATAGAGAATAGAAAAGAGAATAGAACAGAACAGAATAGAATAAAGAATAGAACAGAACAGAATAGAATAAAGAATAGAATAGAATAGAATAG